AAAAAAATTTGTTAAGAAAATTTCAATACACTGCCTTAAGATTATAAGCTCATACTGAGTGTTTAAAACAGTAGTTATAAACACAGATCTCACTAGAGGACCTCAGGATGACTTAATGATTGCAATTTATTTAAATTAAAATACTTAATTAAAATGCTAAAAAGTAATTTCTGTATAACAACAACTATCATTTTATCAAAGTTCTTGAAATTTCTAGAATCAAAAATAATTGTGGTGAACTCATTCAAAATATTGACATTCTCGGTTTTCGCTAATAAAAGGTTTGAAAACACGTAGCTTTGTGATAATCGCAACAGAGCACACCAGAGGAAATATAATAGCTTATATATGAGGGGCTTTTGTACTGTATATTGTGTCGGACAGTAGGGGGCTTTTAAGAACCACTGATCTAAAAGGTAAAGACCACCAAAAAAGGCAATAATGGTTTCAGGAAACAGGCCTACAATTGTATTAATTTCATTCAGAACATGACAACTGTCATTAAATCGAATACAAATATTTATATTCAGGGAATGCTTTTTTCTTAAAGGGGTCATCGGATGCAAAATTCACTTTTGTTGTTGTTTGAACATAAATGTGTGTTTAAAGTGAGTGTAAACATCCATCCTATAATAATAAAAATCCACCCAGTGTTTTTTTTTTTAATCCCTATTTTAAAATCCCCTTTCTCAAATCAGGCTGTTCTGAGATTCCTGTCAGAATGAGGTAGTTCTGCACAGGCCCCTCCCACGATAGTTGATTGACAAGGCCGTCTTACCTTAGACCTGCCCTGAGTGAGCTGCCATCAGTTGTCGACTCCGGTGCAGGGGAAGACAAGAATGTCTCCTATTAAGCGATTGAGGTCTTCTGTTGTTGGATGTAATAATGGACATAGCAGTCGTCATTTACTCCCGACATCTGAGCCTCTGAAGATGCAGAGGATTAATGTTACATTCGTTTTGAAGGGAATGCGCCGATCCCCGATCTGCCTAAATGCATCTATGTTCGCGCGAATCATTCGTGATCGAGCTTCATCTACAGAAGACGCGAGTATAAGGTTTTTTATGAATCTTTGCAAATGGCCTTTCCTAATGTGCTAGTTAGCCAGTTTCGCGGCTAAAGTAAACAAACAGTACTGCTGGTCAGTCGTCACCCCACAGAAGAGAGGGGCGGGTTGAGCAGAGCTCATTAGCATTTAAAGCAACATGGACTAGAACGACGTGCTGAAAACAGAGCTCATTTTGACAAGGTAAAATTGGTGTTTTTTACACTACCATTGAGAAATTTTAACCAAAGTATGTTATAGACTTTTCATTAAGACCCTAAAGAATCATATCAACTTATATCAAACGGGCATCTGATGACCCCTTTAAAGTAAAAGGCCAGAAGCTGGTAATCTGGGCTATTAAGTAGCAGTGATCTATAAAATAAAGAGATGTGAAGTTTCTCCAGAACTCTTGTTCCCTTGAGTAAGACACATCACCAGCATCTAATCATCTTTATTTCATCAGGAACGATGAAAACTCTAGTGTAACTGACAATAAATGTGTGAGTGAGCTTGGGTAGTTAATGACTGTTTCACAAATTTATCAAAATGCAAAGCACATAAGAGACGTGACTGGTGCTTTATCAGACAACATTCACATTCATTACAGTGCATGAAGCAAACATGTTACTAAGAATGAAGCATGATTATATGAAAGAGTATAAATGATCAAAACTTTGTGGCGTGAACTCATCGATGCTTTACGCCAAAAGGGCAACTTTTCTAAATCTGTATTAGCTGCATGTTTTAACTTCCAAATATGTACAATAACCTGAATGTAAAAGGGTTAGGCTGAAATGAAGGGATTTGAATATGAATATAGATATATTAAATAGATTAATTAATCTTCCGATATATCCAATCAGATTTGAACAGTTTATTCAAATTACAATCTTGGTTTAATTATCCTGCTTGTGAAATGGAGTGATATTAAATTTCACATTTCATAGCTTATAAAAAAAAAAAAGGATTATTTATGGCATTTTATGCCTTTATTTTGATAGGACAGTATAGGTCGACAGGAAGTGAAGTGGGGGAGAGAGAGGGGGATGGGATCGGGAAAGGTCCGCAAGCAGGGACTCGAACTCGTGACAGCCGAAGCACAATGGCGCTGTATGGCAGCGCTGCCCACGAGGCCATCAGAGTCAACCATGCAGTGTTTTCACACATTTTTCCTTCGACAGCAGGCCAGACATCAAAAAGAATCTCCCAGTAAAAATATTAACTATAACAGATAAAAGTGTGACAATGACAACTGATTTCTCTGGTGTTTTTCATGGATAATGCATTTAAAATGTTCGTTTTGAATACATAATTCATTGAAAGTGTTCAACATTGAGTTAAACTAAAACGATGAAGTATTTCCAAGGCCGAATAAATCAAAAGCGTTGAGATAAACATGAGGATGTTATTTAGGAATACATGTGAATTTATATTCATTGAAAAAGCATGCAAAAACAAGAACATGAATAACAACAGAAGATATTAACTATAATGACAAATGATTCAAAGTATACTGTTCTTGTCCTCCAGATCTGGCTATTAGAAATATTTACATTACTTAGAATAATATATAAATATGTACATTATTTAGCATATTATGCCATTGACAACGACATAATCAGTGAAATGCAAGCACTTTTTTTTAATCAGGGCTCTGGCAGATGATGTATTGCTCTGCGTCATGCAGATAAAGAGAGAAAAGTAAACAGGTGGAGGAGCCCAATAAACCAGAGTTTGAGAGATCCGTTATCAGCGTTCCAGCCTTGAGCAATGAATATTACCTCAGAGAAGCATCACTATACAAACATCTGCAGAATCAACATGACAACTCTATATAGCTACGAATACATCCATAGCTCAATTTGAGTAAATCATTCATTTATAGAATATATTTGGAAAATATTTCACATTCACTGTGATTACTACATGCCTACAGAACAGAAGTTGTCTTATATGTGGTGGATCATTGTGTGTAATTGAACGGCTCAATAGTATAAGGAACGGTACTTTTTTAAACATGTAGAACCTGTAACAAATATGAACATATTCATATATATATATATATATAAAACGTCATCACATAGTCACAGAGATATGAAATTTGCCGTCATTATAGTAGATTTTACAGTCAGTGAGGATGATGGGAAACTTGCTTGGTTACTGGAAAAATGTGAGATTTACAATCGCCCTCAATTATACTCTGCGTCATACACAAGTGTGTTTTACAAGACATAGTTTGTTATTCTACAAGGATGCATTACACTGACCAAAAATTACAGTAAAGACTTTCAGAATGTTTCAAATAAATGCTGTTGTTTTGTACTTTCTATTTCTCTTTGAATCCTGAAATCCAATAATCAGAAATGTTTCTTAAGCAGGTAATGATTGTAGTAACGATGCTGAAAATTCGGCTTTGATCAGGAATAAAGTACATTTGAAAATAAATCAAAGTAAAAAAAACTGTTACTTTAAAATGTTATATTTCAGAATATTACCGTTTTACTGTATTTTTGATCAAAGAAATGCTGTCTGGGTGAGTAGAGATTTCTTTCAAAAACATTACACTACCGTTCAAGCATCTACCGTTTTTGAAAAAAGTCTGCCGTTTTCAAATCTTGTCTTTTTTAAAAATCATGTAATACTAATCTTGTGTTGTAGCTTCATCTAAACGTTTTGCATCTATGCAGTATATATCAACTTAGATATATTTGAACATTCTGTCATTTATTGTACGTTTGACTGGCTATAAGAATAGTCAGTTAGTATGACGGTGTTTCACTGTAGTGCTTGCTGTGTTTCAGACTCTTTGTTCAGTGGAAGCGGAGCACATGGAGCCAGGAGCTGTTTTATTGGAAATCAGAGCATCAGTGTTTTTCAGTGGGAAATGGGGAATCTCTGTCGCTCCGCTCCACTTGCATACGTTGTTCCAGTCCGACTTTCAGTCTGTGTGTTGCTTGGTGACACGTAAAACTTGATGCTTTGGCTTCTTATGGAACTATTTACATTGGCGGAGAAGAAATATACGAACTAACTGACCAACTTCTTTTAAAGTTATATTTCTGGGCTTCTATTAGACAGGACAGTAGGAGGAGAGACAGGACAGATTGAGAGGGGAACAGGACCAGGAAAAGACTTGGAGTCAGGACCTGTGCTGCCCATATGGCACTGACTCATTTGTTTCCAATATCTGAAAAATCTAACTTACTTGATATACTTTTTTTTTTTTTTTTAAAGAAAGGCTTAGAATTTTTAAAGCAAATTATATTTGATGACATCACTAAGTGTGTTTACATGCACAATAAAACATTGACAACAATCAAAAACTTCTTTATTATAAAAGTGTTTTATATGAGATTTGAAATGATACTGTTTGGACATTACAGTGTAAAGAGACGTGCTCATAATATGGACACTGAAAAACCTGTCAAAATAGCATTTAAGGTGCTTACATACTGTGTAAAATTAGGGTGATGGGTAAAAATCTAGGTGCACTCGTACTACTGTTCAAACATGTAGGGTCAGTAATCTTTTTTATTATTGATTGATTGATTGATTGAAAGAAAATTATACTTTTATTCAGGAAGGATGCATTAAATTGACCAAAAGTGACAGTAAAGACATTTATAAACTACTTCTTTTTAAAAAAAAATGCTGGTATCACGGTTTCCACAAAAACATGGAGCAGCACAACTGTTTTCAAGATTGATAATAAAAAAAAAAATGTTCCTTGAGCATAATGATGCTGAAAATTCAGCTTTGATCACAGGAACAAATTACATCTTAAAATATATTCAAAATTATTTTACATGATATTTCACAATCTTACTGTTTTACTGTATTCTTAATCAAGCCTTGGTGAGCACAAGAGACTTCCATAAAAAAAGAATTACAAAAAATCGTACTGACCCCAAACTTTCGAATGGTAGTGTGTTTGTATATATTGCCTTTTAATGCAGTATTACGTGAGCACTCATTAACTTAACTGTATATACAGTATTGAATACTTTGACAACGCAACTATGAGTGATATAGTATTTGCATAAAATAACTTGAGCAGAATACTCTAGAGAGTGTGTGGCAGCCCACGAGGGTTGAATTTGACAGAAAAAGAGACAGAGTTGGAGGCAGAAAAAGAGGCAGATACAACACTACGTAATGTGACCTTACTTATTGAGAGCTGACGATGGTCTTTTTGACACACCACCTCACGGAACATTTCTCTGAAGCGTGAAGACATGAGGTTATACAGGATGGGATTGACCACTGAGCTCAAGTAGAAGAAGACACCAGAAAGAAGATGCACGTACTCAAAGACATGGTGGTTCTCTGCAGTCCAGTCATCAATGTAGCTCCACATGACACGATCGATGTGAAACGGGGCCCAGCAGATTCCAAACACAATCACCAATGCACCTGTCAAATACACAGAAAGTATATTAGAAAATTACATGTAAATGTATAATAAATAATACCTATTATATTATATTCTGTCTGAATACTGGATTCTGATTGGCTGGCAGGTATGCATTAAAACCGTTTCATGCACAGGTAGTTCCAAGTCAGTTTAATCACCGTTCTATATTAATGTGCTGCTTTCATTGACACACACACACACACACACACAGAGAGCGAGAGAGAGAGAGAGAGAGAGAGAGAGACATCGCAGTTTGCTCTGCGCACACACAGAAACATAGGAACACAGAAACATGTTGTCAACGCTGCCCTGCGACTTCTATAAAAACATCACAATAATCCACAAGTAATCCACACCACTCCAGTCCATTAATTAAGGTCCTGTGAGAAAAGCTGCTTTTATGTAAGAAACAAATTTATCAAGACTTTTCAACTTCAGACCGTTGTTTCCATCTAAAATACCCTATCCAAGTACCCTATCCATAATATTTCTCTCTTCATCTTGCTCTGAATCAGGAGAGAAATAGTCACAGATCAACCACTGTTTGCAAGTAAAAAACATTCTAAACAAATATTGTGATGTTTTTATTAGCTGTTTGGACTCTCATTCTGACGGCACCCATTCACCGCAGAGGATCCATTGGTGAGCAGGTGATGAAATGCTACATTTCTCCAAATCTGTTCTGATAAAGAAACAAACTCATATCTTGGATGGCCTGAGGGTGAGTAAATGTTCAGCAAAACATCATTTTTGGGTGAACTATTCCTTTAATATTCATTGCAAAAAAGGCTATGAATAGTGACGTTAGTTCTGGGAAAAGCTCTAACATCATTTGTGTTATCTAATGCAATGACAATCACACATTTAAGTGTGCTTTAAGTATCCAGATACACTTATAATGTGTTTAAATCTATAAAATAACTGTTACTTTTGGCGCGCATCTGCTCTACTGACAGTGTTTATGAACTCGAGAATACATGACTAGATCTTAAGTATTTTGTTTGTATCTCAGTATCAAAGAAAATGTTGAAATTTGTTGAGGATGGCCACACAGCGTAGTGCTGACGAGCTATTACAATAAGCCAGATGTAGACTGACGCTATAACTACGGTAAATCAGATCCCCTTTGTATTTACAATAACATGACATGAGGCTGATAAAGCACAGATGAGGATTTTCTGTTTATCAGCACAGATTATTAACAAAGTTCCTTGAGGTTTCTACAATTGCAAAACCTCACAAACTGGACAAGAATGTGTCATACTTAAAAAAGCTGGGATTTGACTCTTTATTTCTTTTTCTGGCATAATATTTAGAAAAGAATACTTGAGTTTTTCAGCTCTGAATAATGAACATTGGCAGTTTGCTATTAACTCATTTTCACACTGCTCATACTGTATACTGGATTAGGTTTGGACTGCCATTATAAAGCTTGGAAGGGCCAGGATATTTTTTAAATATAACTCCGATTGGATTTGCCTGAAAGAAGAAAGTCATATACACCTAGGATGCCTTAAGCCTGAGCAAATCATGGGGTAATTTTCATTTTTGGGTGGACTATCCCTTTAACGTCCTGTTTACAGACTCAGGCATTATGTGTTTTTCTTTATCACTGTCCCAGTAGTTCCGGAAAATAACAAAAAAATAGGTACACTCTCAAAAATGCTGGGTTGTTTCAACCCAACTTTGGGTCAAATATGGACTAACCCAATTATTGGGTTACATTTTTAAACTAAATTTTTAACCCAAAAGTTGGGTTAGTCCACATTTGACCCAAAGTTGGGTTGAAACAACCCAGCATTTTTAGAGTGTACAAAAAATACAGTACCAAGACTAGAGAAATGTATGTTTGTACTTGAAAATTGTTTGGCCCGCGCTAATTTCAAATAATGTGACATGAAAATTCAAACGCAGCATCAGAAAGCTACATTAACTTACATCGTGTCTACACCGGACGCGAGTGACGCAGTGCTACACAATAAAATACAATAGAACTGGTTATAATCAGTGATACTGTCTTGGATGTGGCGCAACACGACAAATCCCCAACAGTAAACTGCTGACTTGTTCTATTTATAACGTACTGACACAACGTTCAAATGATTTGCAATATGGGGGACGAAACCTGCAAAAACAATAAATAAATAAATACACAAATAAATGTGTGCATAAATACACGTATTCTTGTTTAAATACATAAATAAATAATGAAATGATGAAAGTAGGCAAATAAATAAAATAATTTATTCTAATAAACACTAGCTGCCATCAAAAGAACGAGCCCTTATTCCGCGGATAAAGTGAATAATCTCACGATGACCATGGGATACTGATATTACAGTTGTCTCTAGCTGGAGACTCAATTGGGTTACGAAAAATGACGTCAGCAAATGACATCTCTGGCCATTCCGTTGGGTCGTTTGTAAAGTCGCAGATATTGTACGGACAATACAGCTCAGCTTTTTACGTATCTTGCTCTGTTGAACGGAAAAAGTGACTTTACGTAGGCCATACTGGATTTACACCATGCATCTCCTGTCAGCAGGAAAGCCCCCCAGCTATCACAAGACCCGACCAAGTCCATGGTTGACACCCTCTCATTAGCATGTTGTGCAGAGGAAAAATAAATGTGGAACTACATTCAGAAATAAATGAGTGATCAAAGGAAAATAGTTAGGATGAGTTTAGCATTTCCTTAAACATTTTCCATTTGCCCACCAATTTATTTTATTTATTTGCCTACTTTAATCACATGTTTATTTATTTCTATATGTATTTAAACAAAAATGTGTGTATTTATACAAGTTTGCTTTAATTTATTTTCTAGATCTGAGGTAAAATATCTATTGTTGCTTTCACTATGGCTAAAGATAACGCAAAATAATATTCAAACTCACATTAGACACTTTTAACATTGAATAAAGCACATAATCATTACCTGAGATTATTGCTGTCATATTTTGTATGTTGTTCCTGTCGCGACGTCGCAGAAAATAGAACAAAGTTTTTGTGTTACAGTTTGATCCCCCCCAAATATCTAAGTATAAAAATATTAATACTGAGAAATCTAATAATTGAATCTGCAATTAGGGATAGTGGAGAGAATAGATCCACACTCTAAAAAATGCTGGGTTAAAAAGGGACAAACCCAGCTATTGGGTTGTTTTGACCCAGCGGTGGGTTATACTTAACCCAGCATTTTTTTAGAGTACAGGCTGGAGATGAGCAGGAACAGTTGATTTGCATGGCAGACATGAAGATCCAGATTTTTTTGTTTGTTCATTTGTTTTTAATATTCAACAGACAAAGTTCTTCTGTATCTAAATGCAAAAATGTTCATAATTGTTTGAATAAAACAGACTACTGGGGAAAAAATCTGAATATGCATCTTGTGACAATCTTGTGATTATTTTAACAAAAGCAACAATAATTGAAATAATAATAATAACAATTTATATATAACAATATATATATAGGTCAGTGGCCCTTGGCTTGGTATTGTTGGCAGAATTCGGCCCTCTGCGAAAACTAATTGAGGAACCCTGGCTTAAACCCTTACTAGCATACCAACAGCACGTGTAGAAGGGGAAACAGGACTCACAGAGCATTTTTGTGACTTGCCGATGGCGTGCCCTCTGATTTACCCCATCCTGATTGAGCCCAATCTTTGAATCAAAACACTCCCGTTCTCGATGCAGCTGCAGGCCGATCAGCACATACAGCACAGTGATGGCCAGCATCGGCAGGATGAAGAACAGCAGCGCTGTCACCTGCACCAGCAAGTTGTAGATCCACCTATCATGCACCACGATACACACACCCGAATTGGGGAAAGTGAGTCCAAAACGGGGTTTTAACATCTCCACGCCATGCAGACTGGTATTGGGCAAGGCACACAACAGCGAGACAGCCCATAGCACAAGGATAACGCGCTTGGCATGAGCGTGCGTCACCATGTGTTTGGCGTGCAGAGGACGCACCACCGCTCTGTAGCGCTCTGCGCTCAAGGCGGTCACGTTGAGCACAGAGGCAAAGCAGACCGTCTCGAACAGGCAGGTTTTGAAGTAGCAGCCAGCAACGCCAAACAGAAAGGGATAGTTGCTCCAGAGTTCATAAAGCTCCAGCGGGAGACCAAGCAACAGCACAAGGAGGTCAGAAATGGCCAAGCTGAACAGATAGTAGTTTGTGGTTGTGCGCATCACACGGTGACGGGCGATGACTATACAAGTCAGGCTGTTGCCCAGCACGCCGACCACAAAGATGAGCAGGTAGGTGATGCACGTAGGCAGGAAGAAGGGTGAACGGCAAGGGCCCAGGTACTTCTCCAGGTAAGCGCTGCGGCTCAGACAGAGGTCTGACTGGCTCGCTGTTCTGTTGTGACAGTCGTCCTCTCTGGTGGAGCACCATGATGACCCAAAGTTGGGTTGAAACAACCCAGCATTTTTAGAGTGTACAAAAAATACAGTACCAAGACTAGAGAAATGTATGTTTGTACTTGAAAATTGTTTGGCCCGCGCTAATTTCAAATAATGTGACATGAAAATTCAAACGCAGCATCAGAAAGCTACATTAACTTACATCGTGTCTACACCGGACGCGAGTGACGCAGTGCTACACAATAAAATACAATAGAACTGGTTATAATCAGTGATACTGTCTTGGATGTGGCGCAACACGACAAATCCCCAACAGTAAACTGCTGACTTGTTCTATTTATAACGTACTGACACAACGTTCAAATGATTTGCAATATGGGGGACGAAACCTGCAAAAACAATAAATAAATAAATACACAAATAAATGTGTGCATAAATACACGTATTCTTGTTTAAATACATAAATAAATAATGAAATGATGAAAGTAGGCAAATAAATAAAATAATTTATTCTAATAAACACTAGCTGCCATCAAAAGAACGAGCCCTTATTCCGCGGATAAAGTGAATAATCTCACGATGACCATGGGATACTGATATTACAGTTGTCTCTAGCTGGAGACTCAATTGGGTTACGAAAAATGACGTCAGCAAATGACATCTCTGGCCATTCCGTTGGGTCGTTTGTAAAGTCGCAGATATTGTACGGACAATACAGCTCAGCTTTTTACGTATCTTGCTCTGTTGAACGGAAAAAGTGACTTTACGTAGGCCATACTGGATTTACACCATGCATCTCCTGTCAGCAGGAAAGCCCCCCAGCTATCACAAGACCCGACCAAGTCCATGGTTGACACCCTCTCATTAGCATGTTGTGCAGAGGAAAAATAAATGTGGAACTACATTCAGAAATAAATGAGTGATCAAAGGAAAATAAATAGGATGAGTTTAGCATTTCCTTAAACATTTTCCATTTGCCCACCAATTTATTTTATTTATTTGCCTACTTTAATCACATGTTTATTTATTTCTATATGTATTTAAACAAAAATGTGTGTATTTATACAAGTTTGCTTTAATTTATTTTCTAGATCTGAGGTAAAATATCTATTGTTGCTTTCACTATGGCTAAAGATAACGCAAAATAATATTCAAACTCACATTAGACACTTTTAACATTGAATAAAGCACATAATCATTACCTGAGATTATTGCTGTCATATTTTGTATGTTGTTCCTGTCGCGACGTCGCAGAAAATAGAACAAAGTTTTTGTGTTACAGTTTGATCCCCCCCAAATATCTAAGTATAAAAATATTAATACTGAGAAATCTAATAATTGAATCTGCAATTAGGGATAGTGGAGAGAATAGATCCACACTCTAAAAAATGCTGGGTTAAAAAGGGACAAACCCAGCTATTGGGTTGTTTTGACCCAGCGGTGGGTTATACTTAACCCAGCATTTTTTTAGAGTACAGGCTGGAGATGAGCAGGAACAGTTGATTTGCATGGCAGACATGAAGATCCAGATTTTTTTGTTTGTTCATTTGTTTTTAATATTCAACAGACAAAGTTCTTCTGTATCTAAATGCAAAAATGTTCATAATTGTTTGAATAAAACAGACTACTGGGGAAAAAATCTGAATATGCATCTTGTGACAATCTTGTGATTATTTTAACAAAAGCAACAATAATTGAAATAATAATAATAACAATTTATATATAACAATATATATATAGGTCAGTGGCCCTTGGCTTGGTATTGTTGGCAGAATTCGGCCCTCTGCGAAAACTAATTGAGGAACCCTGGCTTAAACCCTTACTAGCATACCAACAGCACGTGTAGAAGGGGAAACAGGACTCACAGAGCATTTTTGTGACTTGCCGATGGCGTGCCCTCTGATTTACCCCATCCTGATTGAGCCCAATCTTTGAATCAAAACACTCCCGTTCTCGATGCAGCTGCAGGCCGATCAGCACATACAGCACAGTGATGGCCAGCATCGGCAGGATGAAGAACAGCAGCGCTGTCACCTGCACCAGCAAGTTGTAGATCCACCTATCATGCACCACGATACACACACCCGAATTGGGGAAAGTGAGTCCAAAACGGGGTTTTAACATCTCCACGCCATGCAGACTGGTATTGGGCAAGGCACACAACAGCGAGACAGCCCATAGCACAAGGATAACGCGCTTGGCATGAGCGTGCGTCACCATGTGTTTGGCGTGCAGAGGACGCACCACCGCTCTGTAGCGCTCTGCGCTCAAGGCGGTCACGTTGAGCACAGAGGCAAAGCAGACCGTCTCGAACAGGCAGGTTTTGAAGTAGCAGCCAGCAACGCCAAACAGAAAGGGATAGTTGCTCCAGAGTTCATAAAGCTCCAGCGGGAGACCAAGCAACAGCACAAGGAGGTCAGAAATGGCCAAGCTGAACAGATAGTAGTTTGTGGTTGTGCGCATCACACGGTGACGGGCGATGACTATACAAGTCAGGCTGTTGCCCAGCACGCCGACCACAAAGATGAGCAGGTAGGTGATGCACGTAGGCAGGAAGAAGGGTGAACGGCAAGGGCCCAGGTACTTCTCCAGGTAAGCGCTGCGGCTCAGACAGAGGTCTGACTGGCTCGCTGTTCTGTTGTGACAGTCGTCCTCTCTGGTGGAGCACCATGAGAGAAGAAATATACGAACTAACTGACCAACTTCTTTTAAAGTTATATTTCTGGGCTTCTATTAGACAGGACAGTAGGAGGAGAGACAGGACAGATTGAGAGGGGAACAGGACCAGGAAAAGACTTGGAGTCAGGACCTGTGCTGCCCATATGGCACTGACTCATTTGTTTCCAATATCTGAAAAATCTAACTTACTTGATATACTTTTTTTTTTTTTTTTAAAGAAAGGCTTAGAATTTTTAAAGCAAATTATATTTGATGACATCACTAAGTGTGTTTACATGCACAATAAAACATTGACAACAATCAAAAACTTCTTTATTATAAAAGTGTTTTATATGAGATTTGAAATGATACTGTTTGGACATTACAGTGTAAAGAGACGTGCTCATAATATGGACACTGAAAAACCTGTCAAAATAGCATTTAAGGTGCTTACATACTGTGTAAAATTAGGGTGATGGGTAAAAATCTAGGTGCACTCGTACTACTGTTCAAACATGTAGGGTCAGTAATCTTTTTTATTATTGATTGATTGATTGATTGAAAGAAAATTATACTTTTATTCAGGAAGGATGCATTAAATTGACCAAAAGTGACAGTAAAGACATTTATAAACTACTTCTTTTTTAAAAAAAATGCTGGTATCACGGTTTCCACAAAAACATGGAGCAGCACAACTGTTTTCAAGATTGATAATAAAAAAAAAAATGTTCCTTGAGCATAATGATGCTGAAAATTCAGCTTTGATCACAGGAACAAATTACATCTTAAAATATATTCAAAATTATTTTACATGATATTTCACAATCTTACTGTTTTACTGTATTCTTAATCAAGCCTTGGTGAGCACAAGAGACTTCCATAAAAAAAGAATTACAAAAAATCGTACTGACCCCAAACTTTCGAATGGTAGTGTGTTTGTATATATTGCCTTTTAATGCAGTATTACGTGAGCACTCATTAACTTAACTGTATATACAGTATTGAATACTTTGACAACGCAACTATGAGTGATATAGTATTTGCATAAAATAACTTGAGCAGAATACTCTAGAGAGTGTGTGGCAGCCCACGAGGGTTGAATTTGACAGAAAAAGAGACAGAGTTGGAGGCAGAAAAAGAGGCAGATACAACACTACGTAATGTGACCTTACTTATTGAGAGCTGACGATGGTCTTTTTGACACACCACCTCACGGAACATTTCTCTGAAGCGTGAAGACATGAGGTTATACAGGATGGGATTGACCACTGAGCTCAAGTAGAAGAAGACACCAGAAAGAAGATGCACGTACTCAAAGACATGGTGGTTCTCTGCAGTCCAGTCATCAATGTAGCTCCACATGACACGATCGATGTGAAACGGGGCCCAGCAGATTCCAAACACAATCACCAATGCACCTGTCAAATACACAGAAAGTATATTAGAAAATTACATGTAAATGTATAATAAATAATACCTATTATATTATATTCTGTCTGAATACTGGATTCTGATTGGCTGGCAGGTATGCATTAAAACCGTTTCATGCACAGGTAGTTCCAAGTCAGTTTAATCACCGTTCTATATTAATGTGCTGCTTTCATTGACACACACACACACACACACACAGAGAGCGAGAGAGAGAGAGAGAGAGAGAGAGAGAGACATCGCAGTTTGCTCTGCGCACACACAGAAACATAGGAACACAGAAACATGTTGTCAACGCTGCCCTGCGACTTCTATAAAAACATCACAATAATCCACAAGTAATCCACACCACTCCAGTCCATTAATTAAGGTCCTGTGAGAAAAGCTGCTTTTATGTAAGAAACAAATTTATCAAGACTTTTCAACTTCAGACCGTTGTTTCCATCTAAAATACCCTATCCAAGTACCCTATCCATAATATTTCTCTCTTCATCTTGCTCTGAATCAGGAGAGAAATAGTCACAGATCAACCACTGTTTGCAAGTAAAAAACATTCTAAACAAATATTGTGATGTTTTTATTAGCTGTTTGGACTCTCATTCTGACGGCACCCATTCACCGCAGAGGATCCATTGGTGAGCAGGTGATGAAATGCTACATTTCTCCAAATCTGTTCTGATAAAGAAACAAACTCATATCTTGGATGGCCTGAGGGTGAGTAAATGTTCAGCAAAACATCATTTTTGGGTGAACTATTCCTTTAATATTCATTGCAAAAAAGGCTATGAATAGTGACGTTAGTTCTGGGAAAAGCTCTAACATCATTTGTGTTATCTAATGCAATGACAATCACACATTTAAGTGTGCTTTAAGTATCCAGATACACTTATAATGTGTTTAAATCTATAAAATAACTGTTACTTTTGGCGCGCATCTGCTCTACTGACAGTGTTTATGAACTCGAGAATACATGACTAGATCTTAAGTATTTTGTTTGTATCTCAGTATCAAAGAAAATGTTGAAATTTGTTGAGGATGGCCACACAGCGTAGTGCTGACGAGCTATTACAATAAGCCAGATGTAGACTGACGCTATAACTACGGTAAATCAGATCCCCTTTGTATTTACAATAACATGACATGAGGCTGATAAAGCACAGATGAGGATTTTCTGTTTATCAGCACAGATTATTAACAAAGTTCCTTGAGGTTTCTACAATTGCAAAACCTCACAAACTGGACAAGAATGTGTCATACTTAAAAAAGCTGGGATTTGACTCTTTATTTCTTTTTCTGGCATAATATTTAGAAAAGAATACTTGAGTTTTTCAGCTCTGAATAATGAACATTGGCAGTTTGCTATTAACTCATTTTCACACTGCTCATACTGTATACTGGATTAGGTTTGGACTGCCATTATAAAGCTTGGAAGGGCCAGGATATTTTTTAAATATAACTCCGATTGGATTTGCCTGAAAGAAGAAAGTCATATACACCTAGGATGCCTTAAGCCTGAGCAAATCATGGGGTAATTTTCATTTTTGGGTGGACTATCCCTTTAACGTCCTGTTTACAGACTCAGGCATTATGTGTTTTTCTTTATCACTGTCCCAGTAGTTCCGGAAAATAACAAAAAAATAGGTACACTCTCAAAAATGCTGGGTTGTTTCAACCCAACTTTGGGTCAAATATGGACTAACCCAATTATTGGGTTACATTTTTAAACTAAATTTTTAACCCAAAAGTTGGGTTAGTCCACATTTGACCCAAAGTTGGGTTGAAACAACCCAGCATTTTTAGAGTGTACAAAAAATACAGTACCAAGACTAGAGAAATGTATGTTTGTACTTGAAAATTGTTTGGCCCGCGCTAATTTCAAATAATGTGACATGAAAATTCAAACGCAGCATCAGAAAGCTACATTAACTTACATCGTGTCTACACCGGACGCGAGTGACGCAGTGCTACACAATAAAATACAATAGAACTGGTTATAATCAGTGATACTGTCTTGGATGTGGCGCAACACGACAAATCCCCAACAGTAAACTGCTGACTTGTTCTATTTATAACGTACTGACACAACGTTCAAATGATTTGCAATATGGGGGACGAAACCTGCAAAAACAATAAATAAATAAATACACAAATAAATGTGTGCATAAATACACGTATTCTTGTTTAAATACATAAATAAATAATGAAATGATGAAAGTAGGCAAATAAATAAAATAATTTATTCTAATAAACACTAGCTGCCATCAAAAGAACGAGCCCTTATTCCGCGGATAAAGTGAATAATCTCACGATGACCATGGGATACTGATATTACAGTTGTCTCTAGCTGGAGACTCAATTGGGTTACGAAAAATGACGTCAGCAAATGACATCTCTGGCCATTCCGTTGGGTCGTTTGTAAAGTCGCAGATATTGTACGGACAATACAGCTCAGCTTTTTACGTATCTTGCTCTGTTGAACGGAAAAAGTGACTTTACGTAGGCCATACTGGATTTACACCATGCATCTCCTGTCAGCAGGAAAGCCCCCCAGCTATCACAAGACCCGACCAAGTCCATGGTTGACACCCTCTCATTAGCATGTTGTGCAGAGGAAAAATAAATGTGGAACTACATTCAGAAATAAATGAGTGATCAAAGGAAAATAGTTAGGATGAGTTTAGCATTTCCTTAAACATTTTCCATTTGCCCACCAATTTATTTTATTTATTTGCCTACTTTAATCACATGTTTATTTATTTCTATATGTATTTAAACAAAAATGTGTGTATTTATACAAGTTTGCTTTAATTTATTTTCTAGATCTGAGGTAAAATATCTATTGTTGCTTTCACTATGGCTAAAGATAACGCAAAATAATATTCAAACTCACATTAGACACTTTTAACATTGAATAAAGCACATAATCATTACCTGAGATTATTGCTGTCATATTTTGTATGTTGTTCCTGTCGCGACGTCGCAGAAAATAGAACAAAGTTTTTGTGTTACAGTTTGATCCCCCCCAAATATCTAAGTATAAAAATATTAATACTGAGAAATCTAATAATTGAATCTGCAATTAGGGATAGTGGAGAGAATAGATCCACACTCTAAAAAATGCTGGGTTAAAAAGGGACAAACCCAGCTATTGGGTTGTTTTGACCCAGCGGTGGGTTATACTTAACCCAGCATTTTTTTAGAGTACAGGCTGGAGATGAGCAGGAACAGTTGATTTGCATGGCAGACATGAAGATCCAGATTTTTTTGTTTGTTCATTTGTTTTTAATATTCAACAGACAAAGTTCTTCTGTATCTAAATGCAAAAATGTTCATAATTGTTTGAATAAAACAGACTACTGGGGAAAAAATCTGAATATGCATCTTGTGACAATCTTGTGATTATTTTAACAAAAGCAACAATAATTGAAATAATAATAATAACAATTTATATATAACAATATATATATAGGTCAGTGGCCCTTGGCTTGGTATTGTTGGCAGAATTCGGCCCTCTGCGAAAACTAATTGAGGAACCCTGGCTTAAACCCTTACTAGCATACCAACAGCACGTGTAGAAGGGGAAACAGGACTCACAGAGCATTTTTGTGACTTGCCGATGGCGTGCCCTCTGATTTACCCCATCCTGATTGAGCCCAATCTTTGAATCAAAACACTCCCGTTCTCGATGCAGCTGCAGGCCGATCAGCACATACAGCACAGTGATGGCCAGCATCGG